GAGAGAGAGAGAGAGAGAGAGAGAGAGAGAGAGAGAGAGAGAGAGAGAGAGAGAGAGAGAGAGAGAGAGAGTTTGCATCTGTCTGTCGTGTTATTGCGAGCGAAACCGCAACAGGTCATCTAGTGACAGGGAACCCCACAGATGGAGGCCCCTCAGAGACAGAGACCAGTAGTCAGTGCTGGCCTCCCTTTTGTTGAACCCTCAGCTCCCTCAGAGTAACCCCCACAGGTCAAAGACCCCTCACAATCAGCCCTCACAGTAAACCCCAGACATGGAGGCCGCCTCACAATTAGTCCTCGCAGTATAGCCCAGAGATGGAGGCCGTTCACAATCAGCCTTTTATTGATAAAGGCCACTGGCAGTTGGGGCTGAGGACCCCGATTGCCATTTGTGCAAGGGTCCAGCAGGCAGTGCTGCTCATCTAGATCATCAGAAAAGTCTCTCGATCTCCCCAACTCCTTTTGATGTCAGCTTGATTGTTTCCCATGTTTCCTAAACATGGCAAACACTCACTGGTGTTACCATTACCTCTCTTTCCCCTTTCTCTCTCCAATTCTTCACCGAACTCGCAGAATTTCTAGACAACGACGGTTTCTCACTTCACCTTTCTCGCAATATCTAGGAACTCCTAGAATTTCTGGCAAAGCCAATTTCTGATGTTTCCACGTCTCCAGCTGTGCGGTTCACGCTTGCACTTCGTGGCCTGCACTTTGTGCTCATGTGAGTGCTGTTGTGCACGCCTTTGGTGACTTGATACTCCTGCATTTCAATGGATTCGTACTATTCATAGTGCCCACTAGCATGATGGGTGCCACTACTAAGTCCCAAAGACCCATGATGGCAGTGAAGATGGTTAAATCGATTAACATAACAAAAGCATAATTGTGCACAAAGCCACTTTGAAGCTAGGCTACCATATTGGCCCGGGACCACTCGCCCGGCTGAGCCAAAAATAAATAGAAAAATGAAAACAAAAAGGTAGTTATTATTTTAAGTTTATTTTTAATTTGGTAAAGAATTTCGATGTTGACCCTGAGGCAAAAGCTGTGCAGTTTATTTTTCTGCATAACATAGTTTTTTCCGGGTTTTTTTTTTTTTTTTTTTTTTTTTTTTCCTGGGACCTCCCTGCTCCTTGCACGGTGGGGCCACCCGGGAAAACAAGGTGACCCGGGCGGCCCGGCTGGTAGCCTAGCTTTGAAGTCTACTTATTTGCTTTGCTGATTTTCGAAATGTGGTGGACATAGGGACCCGAAACGGAAATATCACCTTTGTCTAAACGACTCTGAAGCCGATTTCTCATAATTTGTCATCCGGGTGTGTTGTCTGTGGTCTCCAATTCCAGAACCTTTTCTGTGGTGTACTCTTCCTCCTGTGATGATTGCCATGTGACATTTTTGACTGGTGAACTTTTCGTGTGAATGATTATTTGCTGCTGCATTTTTTTGTTATTCATGTTTGGGCTTGTCGTTATGTCAAATTTGTTCTAGTATGTTGCATTTTTGTCCTTGGACCCTTTCATCCTTCTTTTATGGTACTCCTTTTTCTCCATTCATGCTGTGCAAAAACTATTCAGAAAAAAAATGAACCTCCTGAACATGCAGGATTGTCAATGTTACATGAGCAGTGGGGTGGTGGTGATAAGCAGAATCGTGGCGAGAGGGGGGCAGGGGGGGGAGGGCTAGGAGGAGAGGAAGGCCGTAGGGAGGAGGTTGGGGAGGGGCATACCTGGCTGTCGCCACAAGGAGCTCCAGCGTGATGCATTCTTCATTCAGGAATCGGTAGGACCAGTGTTGTACTGTGCGGCATTGTATACTGGTGTGGTGTAGGCTAGAGTAGGAGGTGCCGTAGGCCACGTAGGGAGAGGTAGTGAGAACCGCAAGAGCAGAGAAGAACCGCAAGAGCAGAGAATTATTATGATTTATTGTTGTTGTCTTGCTTGTTTGGAGGTGAGGAGTGGGATTTTCATCATCAAGAGACTTCAGCATCGTCAATTCTTATGCTGGTGTGATCATTGTTTTTTTTTTTTTTTTTTTTTTTTTTGCCTTGTTGCCGTATGCATGCTGGTCATGATAGTTCATTGTGCTTGTACTCCAGTGTGGTTTCCCTGCATATGGGAGGCGATATCCCCTTTTTTTCAGAAGATAAAGAACGCCCAGATCATGCTGGGCAAATCCCACTTTTCCACTAGGTGGATGGCACCTTAAACCACTCGTACATCTGAGGCTGGCAGCTTCCCCCTGTGCTCGAAGCTTTGCCGAAACACCAGCGTGGCATTTTTGTTTTTGATTCGGCTGGCGCCGCCAGCCATTTTGGCCCGGTTGCCCCAAGCCTTCGAACCTCTCGGGGGGGGCTCTCTCGTTCTCTCAAGTTGCCTGGGGCCATGTTGCTGGTGGTTTAAAGCCTACGTCGGCGAAGCCATCTCTATCCTTCATCACAACTCCTGACAATCAGAGATTCCATCGTTTATCTAGTTGCTAGTTCTTAGGTTCGTGTGTGTGTGTGTGTGTGTGTGTGTGTGTGTGTGTGTGTGCACATGTTCGCGCGCGTGTGTGTGTGTCTGTTCTCCGACATGCGACTCACTTGTGCTTGTGCTTGCACATGTGACGCATACATGTGGTGAAGGTATTTCAATTGCTCTTCTTATGGATCTGTATGATCACGATACGGGAGATCAATAAAGGATGGCAGTGGCCTTTGTTGATGTGTTGTTCAGTCGTTTCTTGCCTTGTTTATGTTTGTTGCTTTGAAACATGAAAGACCTGAGTGTCCCAAAAACTTTGCGACCTAAGACACTGGGGTATCTTCCCCTTCTCCCGGATAATATGAACAAAATTCAGGAACCTGGTGTTGATTGGTGTTAGCTGGACTACTACTCATTCCGGCTCTTGCTGTACTGGCATCAACAATAGCATTCCTCCACTACTTGCTGCCTCTTGCTGCTGAGATCCCTGTCGTGTGGGCTTTGTGTCAAATAGGTTGAAGAGAACCTGGAGAAATAACTCTGATAGTACTCCTTTCCCTAGCCCCACTCCGCCCTTTAGCATAGTCTTAAAAAAAAAAACTACGCTGTATTCTTCTCTCAATTATACCTCATGCTACCTGCGTACATGCCTAAGCACAGCCAAGATCCACTAGACCTAGGAGCTAACCCCCAGGGACTATTGGCAGGGGCGAAGGACCTCCAAGAGAACCCAGGACCTTACCAAGGCCGACCAGGGAGGGAAGCCAACTATCTCAGCTGATTAACACCAAGCACGCCACAGGCATCCTGGGGGATTGAACCCACGACCTCCTGAATGCCACTTGCTCGTGAAACCGACTGAGCTAGGCCGCTGGCCGTCCGTCAGTTTACTCCAAATTTGTCTGTTTTTTCGCTATTATCTAGTGAGTGCTGGCTTTTTGATGCAGTCTTTACAGTGAATTGGAAGACATAGAGGGATTCATTTTTTGAGTGTGGCAGAGATTACATGCTGATTCCCTGATGCCTGCTCCTTTGGTTCTGTTTCTTATGCTGGGTCTGAAAGCAGACAGCGGGTACAACCTGCACCTGCAGCACCAGCTCGTGCAGGTGCGTACGCGCAAGTTGCTTTTTCATACCAAGATCCTGACGGTCTTGTGGATGGAGGCGAGGATGGAGAGGAGAGTGGAGAGGAGGATGAGGAGGAGGAAGAGGAGAGCAGTAGTGAGGATAGTGAAGATGAAGACATTGAGCAAATTGCAAGGAATCATGGGGTGGACGATTACAATCGTCTTGTGCGCCTCGACAAGAAGGCAAGGGATGAGCAGAGGCGGCAAAAGGAGGCAGCCAAGGGAGAGGTAGGAATGGTAATTTCCTCGCCAAGCTACTGGCAGTAGCCAATGAGTTGGTGTATAATGCGTAATCCTTGCAAAATTGTGAGCATCCTTTTTTTTTTTTTTTTGTGAGAAACAAGGCTCCTTCTATTCTGGACAGCAGCAGTCCGGTTGCTTTTCCACCGGGAAGTCAACGGTGATACAGATTGTACACACACAACTCTCCTCGTCATAATGGTTGAGATGTCCGAGCGGATGGCATTGATTACTTCTCCTTGGGAAGGATGTACCACCCCTAACCCCTGCCAAAGTTAGCTTCATAAAGAAGTGCAAAATCTTACTTCCCCTTGGGAAGGATGTACCACTCCTCACCCCTGCCGAAGTTAGGTTCATAAAGAAGTGCAAAATCTTCTGCTGAAAACCTGTTCTGTTAATCTCGTGCAAAGTTCGCAAACACTGGAACGAGGCAAGGTTGAAAAATGTCAATGTGTCTGTCTATTTAAGTGAATGGCTACATATGGAGATGGATGCCATTTTTTCAAAATGGAAACAAATTGATTGACAAGCAGTGTTGCACACCCCGACCGTCGGCGACCCTTGACTGGTCGGCCGGCCGGCTGGTCGGCACCTACCTGTCGGGGGTCGTCGGCACCCCGCAAAAAAAAAAAAAAGAAAAAAAAAGATTTGGGTCCAGAACCCGTAATAACACCACAAACACCCCCATACCCACTCCAAATACCCCCATACACCCCCGGAAGACCGACAAACTGCCCCCCAACACCCTCATACCCCTCCCCAATACCCCCTATACCACCCCTATACCCCCCTATATCCCCCTATACAGCATCCCCTCAACCCCCCCCATCCCCAAAAGTTTCTCAGCGGATTTGGGCTGTACTCAGCAAGCGCAGTACAGCTTCCAGCTCAGATCTTTAAAAAAAAATAGTGGATGGTTGTTTTCTGACTGATCGGCAGACCGCCGGCCGGTCGGTCCTACTGGTCGGCTGCAATACGGTCGGCGGTTGGGGAAAAAGCGGAGGCCACAAGTTCTATGTGGGGCCGTGTGGTCCTGCCTTTGTTGGGCCTGCTGTCCACTGCGACTGTTCCCAGTGTGAATGGCCACGCTGGGTAGGGTCTGGATGGACTGCCGGCCTTCCCGGAACATGTAGGGGTGTCGAGACATCAGCTTTCCGTTCTCGGCAGGCCGCCGGTCTGGGAAATTTGGTAGATACAGAACCTTTTTGGTTGCCGAAACTTCTCGTGTTTGGCAAGAAGGGCCCGCGGGCAATACATGATGTTGGATGTAAAACTCTGACGGCGGAGATAGAGTCTCGACCGTTTGGCATCTTCCTACCGGATTATGAACCTGGTGCTGTATTTTTGCCGGATTCATTTTCCAGTAAAGGCCCGTCTTGCCAAACTGAAAAGGTTTGGGTACGAAAAACTAAAAAGGTTTTTGTGTGGGCGGTTGCCACCAATTATCCCCACCGGTCTGCTGAACCCTGCTGTGGATGGTTGGAATCAGTTCTGGAGCACCTGTTGGTAGTGAATGGAAGGGGTGTTGCAATTTGAACATCTTTCTAAGTATTTCCAGTAAAGTTGCTCCGGTTGTGTGGAACGGGGTGCTGCAGCTGTCCCTGACTGCATCCTGTTGTAGATGGCATCCTGCCGGCAGATAACTGTCAGAAATTTTGCTGCGGAGCTGTGGACCTACGGCTCGTGTAATAGGGAACAGCTGCAGTCCACAGTTCGTGGAAGGAAAAGCAGAGCCTGCGGTTCTTCTGTATCTCTCAGAGAACAGTTAGAAACAGCATTGTGTGAGAGCAGTCCTCCATGGGAAATAGCCCTTAAAAGTTAAAAACAAAAAGAAGGAGAAAAAGGAGAAATAGCTAGGCTGTTTTCCCGGGCGCCCGGGCACACAACTTCTGCCCGGGTACACGCCCGGGTGCCCGGCCGGGCATGATCCCCGGGCAGGGTTCCGGGCAGCCTCAGCGCCAAAAAAAAAAAAAAAAAAAAAACTCAAAAAGTTCCGGGAAAAAAATATGTTGTGTAGGATTGAAATGCAAACCACCTTTGGCTGAGGGTCACATTAAGATTCCTCACAGAATCAGAGATAAAAAAGAAAATAACAGAATCACACAAAGGCACCCTCCTTTAGACCCCTTTAGCGAAGTTTAGCCCCTTTTAAACCAATTTATAACCCCCTCCCCCCCCCTTGACAGCCAACTCACATAAAACGAAATGAGCCCGGATTTGGAGTCCTCTGGTAGAGCGCAGAAAAAAAAAAAAAACTTTTTTTTTTTTTTTTTTTTTTTTTGCACGCCCGGGTGCCCGGCCGGGCAAGACCGGCCGGGCGTGAGAATCTTCCTAGAGAAATAGTACAGATAGCCCTGAGTGACAAGCAGCCATCCACGAGGGAGCCTGTTAGAAACGGAAGGGGAAAAGGTAAAAAAAGAGAAAGTCTTTTGGGAGGAAATAAAATAACCTGTTTTAATATGGGAGGGGACATTCAAGGTTTGAGAACCATAAGGACCTGTTTAAATATGAAATAAAAGAATAGATCATGCACACACACACACACACACACACACACACACACACACACACACACACACACACACACAGAGAGAGAGAGAGAGAGAGAGATTCAGTTGATGGTGTATGCTCTGGGATTCCCTGGGTCCTGAGGTTCCTGGGATGGGGCTTGGACCCACAGGGCCCAAAGGGTGTTATGGGTCTTGCTGTCGCAGGGTGCGATGCCAAGTGCAAATTCGGAAATGATGGGGAGGAGTTCAACTTATGATGTGCAGGACTTCTCCTCTGTTGAGCCCTTAGGTTCCTCTAAGGTATAAACGGTGCCTCCTGGAGGCCCCCACCCAAGGTCACTGCTGGAAGCGATTCTGGCTCAGTGGTCTGCACCTCCACCCACTTCATATTTCAATAGTTTCTTTGTGATTAGCCCTCTGGGGTCTGTGATGCAAACAGTAGCTCCTGGACTTCCTTGTACCCTACCTGTCACTGTCCAGTATTGACAGCCATGATGCATGTCGGCTCCCTTGCCTACAAGCCTGTAGTGCAAACCTCACTCGTGTCTGCAAGTTGTTTTCTGTCCTGGCAGTATGTCATTTGTTTCTCAAATGTGTGAGATCATGAACTGTTAATGCATCGCCCACCTGCAGGTCGGGAGCAGCCCCCGCTTGTTCTCTCGTGAACATGGTTCTGGCTGCTATGCTGTTCACCGTATGACTATAATTAGGAGTAGTGGTAGGGAGGTAGTGTGAGGTGAGATTCAGAGAAGAATGTAGCTTACTTTTAAAAAGAAAAAGAAACCTTCCTGGGTATACGGCTGTAACTGCACTGGCAATAGTCTTCTACGTCTTCTACGTCTACTACATCTACTACATTCACTACATCTACTACATCTACTACATCTACTACATTCTATTTAAGTTCTTCAGGTCCGGTGTAACCACGTCGCGACTTATCCCTACCGGTTTCTGCTGTTTTGGATATCGGCCATCAGAGAAGAAGCGCATTGTACGGATCCTATCTACGGCGCCCCTGAAAAACGGGATGGAAATGCGGGCCGAGTCCCAGAAATTGCTATTGGTGTGCGCCGGGACTGGCCGAACTCGAAAGCATAGCTTGCTGAAAAAGCTTGCGTACAAGTAAAGTGGATAGCGCTCCTCACCCAGAAAGGAAAATGTCGACACCCGAGCCAACCTCTGCTTTAGTTTTTCAGGCAACATTGTCGGCATTTTCCTCTCTGGACAGTGGGCTTAACATTCCACACGTACTTCGACTATCCTCTGGACCAATGAATTTCGACTGATCGAGCCTTTTGAATGTATTGGGAGCAGAGCCAGATCCAGATACATTCAGAAGTGCAGTGGAGCGATGCTCAGTGCTGAGAGAGTGCATTTCGCCCACTTTCTCTCTCTGCCAGCAGTGTTTGTGCATGGAGGGAGGGGCAGAGTTCTGCTCACAGCTGGCAGAAAAACGAAACAGGTGGGTTCGCATGACGAATGGGTTGTGCACGCAGCGGCCCCATGATGTGAAGTGCACTCTCTGTGAGAGGGGAAGGGTCAGGGCGCGCGCGCGCGCTAGAGAGAGAGAGAGAGAGAGAGAGAGAGAGAGAGCAATGCAATGCATTTGGATTGGGAGAAGGCTGTGCAGTACGTCAAGTTTGCATGTGCAGCTCTCTGGTATACCAGTGGTTCTGTAGGACGGATGGTTCACCATTGATGAGAGCGCTGCATAATTATGTTCGCTTCTGACGGTGAAGAGCTTGTGTGTTTGATTTCTTCTCTCTGGAAGCGCAAATTAACGAGAAAGGAACGGCGGCGTGCTGCACGTGAGGAGAGAGAGAGGGATCGGGATGCTGCTTGGCTCACCTGCAATAAACTGTCATCACGAGAACCTGTCAGGTGAGTGATATGCAGAAGTCTCATTGCATTCCTTTCCTAAGCTAACAAATGTATGTATATGAAAAAAGATCCCGTTCGAAGCATTCTTGTAGTACGTGGAGCCTTTGTAATTCCTGGCGCTCCTCCAAAATGTTGCCTTCCTTGCCATGTGCCGGATCGCTTGTCCTTGAAGTTCAAATGTATTCAGTTTGCGCATGCGAGCCTTTGCTCCTGTAGGTTTGTTGATGATTATGGTGTGGCATGCTTCTATCACTTCTGCATGGGTCCTGGGGACCATCTCACGCAGATGTGTACATGGCATGCATCATCTTCACATGCAGTGATCAATAGTCTCAACCATAGACAAAGGTAGAGAAGAAGAGGACCGAGTTTCACAGCTTATATTATCAGAAATATGAATACAAAGTGTTTCAAAGTTCCCCTGAGTTCAGCGCTCATCAGCGCAACACCAATCTCTTGTCAACTCATCAATATGATTTCCGGTGAATCAGCGCTACTCCTGCAGACAGTCTACAAGTCATCAATGTGGTCACTACTCATCAGCGCCAACTCTGCAGTTCACAACCAACTCAGGTAAGTGTCTCCCATAGCCAAACCTTGAATGAACA